GGGCTGTCTTATTAGGTCTGATTATGAATTTTATGTTTTGATCCCTTTGTAGTCGTGAAACGGAGTGTAATAGCCTACCAGTAGGGTAGGACCTAGTCTAAAGTCCGAATAGCAACGGGAGAGAGACTATTCGGACTCGAGTCTAGACCTCGCTTATATAAATGGTACAACTGGGTGATTGCGCACGCGAACCGGAATTTGAGTCTGAATAGCCTCCAGCAGCTGTTCGGACCACTTCGGATGGTTCGAAAGTAGCTTACAATCCAGCAAGAGTGTGTGTGCGATCCAGAGAGAGAGAGAGAAGGGAGAAGGTGACAGGGGAGAGGGGTTCCGGGGAGAGAGAATCTCCCCTCTTGGCTGACAGTGAGTCGTGACAGTGACAGGTCAGGTAGACATCTTGCACAATAAGTACGTAATTTGCAAACGTTTTGATGGTTAGGTTCGTGGAGAACACAACAAAGAACACCAGGAAAGCTTTGCTTGTAATTCTAGATATCTACATTTAGGTCTAGGAAGGAATTCATCACTCACCGTAGATCCTTGTGTTGACCTTTGCTGCTCGAGACGTAGTCACCAAATTGTTTGTAGGCAAAGACCAACGACACGTACTTCCAGTCCTCAGGATAGTGTTTGGTTTCATCTTTTATAAATTTGTTTTTACTTTGCACGGTCTTGCTTGACAATTTCGAAAAAAGGTATGGTCAATTTGTCTGAAACTCCTCCCATTTGTCTTGAAAATCGCCGTAGGAGGAATACACGTCCCCTACCTGGAACGGCGACCCCATTTTGAATGCTGAGAAACAGGCCGGATGTTATGAAAGATCTAGGCGGTTAGTCTGGATGTTCAGATTGGCTGAAATTATATGCCGTGGAAAAAAAATCACTTCCGATTTTTCGACGGCCTGCCGTGTAAACATCCACTTCCTTAAAAAATAGGCCGGCATTATTTCTCCGAACGTTCGGGAAAATAAAGCTGGGCACTATTTCTCCGAACACTCTAAAATCACATATCCTTTCCGCAAATTTCGGATATTATATAGATCTATAATTATAGTATAGGCCTACCAAAGATTGTTCGTATACAATTAAATATGGTTCAATTGGTCCTAAAAATGTCCGCAGTAAATATTTATAAAGAAATGCTACAGTTCCAAACAGTTTTTCGCTACAGATATAACATGTTTCCTATGAAGGGTGCTGCTCTTAAACTTAATGTGTTGTGTTCACTCGTGTGCTGTCTAGATCTAGATCTACAGAGGGTTATTGATAACGACACATAGAACTAGCATAGATATCTGCATTTGTCGCGCCGCGACCAATCAATCGTGGCTCGATTTTTTGGTATTTTTTGGTCCCCAAATCGGAGAATAAAAGTCAAATTTTAAAAAAATAAAAAAAGAAAGAAACCGAACCTCTTTACTTTTGAAAAAAAGTTCACCTAGCTTCGTCTCTTTCTCACTTGTTGTCACCACGTTGATTTATTGAATACGTTAGTTACTTTTATTTTTCCCATTTTGTGGTGTTTTGTTTTGTTAGTGTGTATTTTTTTCTTTCTTGTTATTGTTCTGATGTGTTGTTTTTCTATCAATTTTTTTAATGGGAAAAAAAAGGGGGGGGGGGGGGGGGCTTTATTCAGTAACAGTTCAAAGTATACAAAAATAGAAACACAGGATCCATTCACTCCAGGGCTCATGAGTTGTTCCTCTCTTTCAGTTTCACTCATTCATTCAATTCCCGTGTTCTCTCCCGCGGCTCATCCCCGTCCGCATGACTTTCACACCCCACCCCCTCCCTTCAGGCACACACAAAGAAAATCTCACTCATTGCCTTGCACCCTGCGAACCATGGACAATAATATAGGCAAAACACTGCCTTAGCCGCATTCCTTTCATTCGTGAACTGTGGACCAGGCCAGGGGGGTCGGTGTCGTCGTGTACTTGTAGTTGCTGTCGCCTGTGGATACATTTGTACATTCTTCCTTTCACCTGCTGTTTCACTCATACTGTTTCTGTTTCTCCATCCACAGCTCAGCTCGTCATACTTTCAAAAGTTGCCCACCGATCATGTTTAGTTAGTGTGTGTATAAGTTTGTGTGTGTACATGTGCATGATGGTGGTGGGTGTGTGGTGGGTGTTACTGAAGGTTGTCTGTAGGCGGGATTGCCATGCGGTGTTCCTTCCCAATCCCAGACCAGAGGCAGAATGAAAGTTAGTGCCCAACTCTCGCAATAAATAGGCAAAAAATCACGAGACCGGAAGCCAGAAACCGTTCGGAGAAATAAAGATCGGCACTAGTCACTAGTTCTCCGAACGTTCGGAGAAATAGTCACTTCGTAAAAAATAATAGAATCTAGATAGTGAGCCAATAAAGGCTGTTAAAAAGAACTAACTGGCTAGATCTAGATCTAGAATCGAAATGACATGATTACATTAAAAAATAATAATATATCTAGAAAGTGAGCCAATATAGGCTGTTAAAAATAGCTAACTGGCTACTCCCAGTCGACTGTAATTTTAACAAAAAGGCTGCTCTTGCTATTCCCTGTCAAAACCATAGTCGTAGGCCTACATTCCCAGACTCGGCGCTTTTTCGGTAGTTCCCACCCCGCATTTGTTATTCGCTGGTTTTGGCCCCAAGAGTAGGGGGTTTCAGGGGGGCTTGCCCCCCTGACCTAATAAAAACAAGGTGGGGGGTTTCAGGGGGGCATGCCCCCCTGAATTTTACCACAATTTAATGTTTTGCAGTTGTTAGGTTTGACATCTTAGCTTGCCGCGAATCAAACGTATATAGATCTAGATCTAGATTCTAGATGTAGGTCAGGCTCTATCAAATAAGGGGGGTGGGAACTACCGAAAAAGCGCCCCAGAATCTGTGAACCAACCTAACGATCACTTTGCTGACCACTGAGAAAAAAGTGAAGGTGGTACCTTTCCACATCAACGTAGATCTAGATCTAGATCTAGGCTTACTTTTTTTACATTCTCAGTA